GATGGTTCTGAAGAAAAGTCCTTTCCCTTTAATTTCTTCCCCAGGTTTACCTTCCTGTGGCTTGGGCATCTTCCCTTCCATTTACAGCACACTGTGGTCACAATATTTCCCAAGGGAGGGTGATCTGTCCTGTAGATCTGGTATGTAGTATTCTTTTTCTGTGGCCTGAGGTCCCTAAGGACTCCAGTTGTCACCTTGCTTCACGTGCATACTCCTGGGACAGGCTACCTGTTTGGATGTTGGGGGGAGGCTGAATTCCCCAGCTCCAGCTCCTCTTCCTGGCTCCCCAGAACTTCTTTCTCACATGGCATCATGGCATTCAGCCTCCCAGCCTTACCCCAAGGACTCCTGTCACCACCTTGCTGTGTACTCCTGGGACAGGCTACCTATTTGGATAGTGGTGGGAGGCTGAGAGGCTCCAGCCCCCGCTACTCTTCCTGGATCCCCTGAACTGCACCAAGAACCAGAGACAAAAAAGAGGAAATAGGTGATTGCCACCAGCTTTTGAAGTCAGTGATTGATTGAACATGCAAACAAGATGCATTAATAGTGAAAGGTGACTGGAATGCAAATGTTAGGAATAGAGAACAAGGATCAGTAGTTGGAAGGCATGGGCTTGGTGACAGAAATGAAGCTGGGTGATAGAATTTTGCACAATCAACAATTTATTTGTTGCAAATACATGTTACAAGAAACATAAAGGCAGGTTATACACATGGATTTCACCTGATGGTATGCAAAGGAATCAGATAGATTACATCTGTGGAAAGAACGGCTCTAGAAGCTCAATACCAGCTGTGAAAACTAAGCCTGGTGCTGATTGTGGAAGAGATCACCAACGACTCATATGCATGTTTAAGCTGAAGCTAAGGAAAGTAAAATCAAAACCATAGGAAATAAAATATGACCTTGAGTCTACCCCACCTGAATTTCAGAACATTCTCAGGAACAGGTTTGAGATTTGAACAGATGAGTTATGGGAAGATATCAAGAATATCATCCAGGAAGAATGCAAAAGTTCTTTGCAAAGATGGAGTAGGAAGAAAAGAAAAAAATGGATATCAGAAGAGACTGACTATTGCACTGGAGTGCTAAGAAGCCAAAACAGAAGGAAGAAATCAAGACATTAAGGAGCTGAACCGGAGATTTCAAAAGGCTGCTAGACAAGACAAAGTAAAGTATTATAATGAAATGTGCAAAGACCTGGAGTCAGAAAATCAAAGGGTCCAAACTCCCTCAGCATTTCTTAAGCTCAAGGAGCTGAAGAGGAAATTCAAGTCTCCAGGATGCTTTGCTTTTTATGAAACAACATATAAGCAAGAGCCTACGGTGATTAAGGAAGAAGTTCAGACTGCCTTGAAAGAATTGTCTAAGGATAAGGCCCCAAGAATTGATGATATACCAATTGACATATCTCAACTAACAGATGCTGCCCTAGATGTGCTCACCAAGTTGTGTCCAGAAATCTGGTGAAAACCCATTTGGCCAACTGACTGGAAGTCATCTATATTTGTTCCCATTCCAAAGAAGGTGATCCCACAGAGTGCGGAAATTATCCAACAATATCTTTAATATGACATGTAAGAAAGATTTTGCTGAAGATTACCCAGAAACGACTGTAACAGCATATCAACAGAGCATTACCAGAAGTGCAGTCTGGGTTTAGATGGTGTCATCATACTAAGGATATTGTAGTTAATGTGAGATGGATCTTGTCTGAAAACAAGGAGTACCAGAAGAGTGTCTATCTTTGTTTCATTGATTAAGCAAAGGCATTTGACTGTGTGGGTCATAACAAACTGTGGTTAACTCTGAGGAGAATAGGACTCCCAAAACACTTGATTGTGGTAATGTAAAACCTATACTTAGACCAGGAGGCAGTCATCAGAACAGAGCAGGGAAACACTGCATGATTCAAAATTGGAAAGGGTGAATTCCACGGCTGCATCCTGTCTCCGTACCTTTTCAATCTTTATGCAGAACAGATTATCCAAGAGGCTAGGCTCTATGAGGAGAAATGTGGTATCAGTATCGGAGGAAGAATCATCAACAATCTGTGCTATGCAGATGACACAACCCTGCTTGCTGAAAGTGAGGAGGACATGAAGCAATTGCTGTGGAAGTTCAGGGACTGCAGTCTTCAGTATGGTTTGAGACTTGATATCAAGAAAACAAAGATTCTCACCACTAGGCAGATTGACAGCATCATAGTGGTTGGGGAAAAGATTGAAATTGTTAACCGTTTTGGTTTGCTTGGCTCCACAGTCAACACTCTTGGCACTAGCAGCCAGGAAATGAAAAGATGTATTGAGATGTGAAAGGCTGTGATTAGAGACCTCTCTAAAGTACTGAAGTGCAACGATGTCAGTCTGGAGACTAAAGTGCACCTGATAAATGCCATGGTCTTTGCAATCACTTGCTATGAATCATAGAGGTGGACAATGACTAGGGATGATAGAAGGAGAATTGATGCCTTTGAGCTGTGGTGTTGGAGAAGAGTATTGAATATACCATGGACTGCTAAAAAATTAACAGGTTTGTCCTGGAGAGGGTGAAGCCAGGCTGCTCCTTCTAGGCAAGGATTCTGAAGCTTTGTCTGACATATTTTGGACATGTTGCAAGGAGGAACCAGTCCTTGGATAGAGACATCATGCTTGGGAGGGTGGAGGGATAGCGTAGGAGAGGAAGACCTTCAATGAGATGGATTGATTCAGTCACTGGGGTAATGGGGCAGGTGTGTCAGAGTTGGTGATATTGTCACAGGATAGGGCAGAGTTTAGGGCTGTTGTACATAAGGTTGCTATGATTCGCAGATGACTCGATGGCACATAACAACAACAACATACAAAGAGTGGCCAGCAATAAAGGGTTCTTTTCTTTCTGTAGCGGTCTCATGCAGATCTAGGCCACATGGACTTTTTATTGAAAGGGATAGGCAGTAGACAAATCCACTGAAAGTGCCCAACCCAACTTTCTTTGTGTGCAGATGATGAATCTGTTATGTTCGTTTTGATGCTGGCATTTAGTAGGGTTCAGTGTGTATTTGCTGGTTTATTGGTGGCAAAATTTGTTCTTCCTTGTCCTTCTGCACAAAGGTAGTCATTCTAGCCCCAAAGGCTGACATATCACATGGAAGGTTGTGTTGGTTCTGACCCTACTTCAATGAGTTGAGTTATCATCCAGTATTATTAGCCTATAGGCCACTAGTGACAAAGAAAGAGAAGCTCAAAGGGATTCAGCCTAATGAATTGCAAAGTGGCCAATGGTATAAGAATTTATGACTGCTAGTGGGCTGGATTGTACATAGTCAACAGTCTTGGCACCAGCAACCAGGGAATTAAAAGGCGCATTGCAATTGGAAAGTCTGCTGTTAGGGACCTCTCCAAAGTGCTGAAGAGCAATGGTGTCTCTCTGGAGACAAAGGTGCGTCCGATACAGGCCATGGTCTTCGCAATCACCTGTTATGCATCAGAGAGTTGGACAATGACCAAGGAGGATAGAAGGAGAATTGATGCCTTTGAGCTGTGGTGCTGGAGAAGAGTATTGAGAATCCCATGTACTGCTAGGAAAACAAACAGATTTGTCCTGGAAAGGGTTGAACTGGGTGGCTCCTTGGAGGCAAGGATTCTGAGGCTCTATCTAACATACTTTGGACATGTTGTGAGGAGAGACCGGTCCTTAGAGAGGGACATCATGCTTGGGAGGGTGGAGGGGTGGTGTAGGAGAGGAAGGCCTTCTATGAGGTGGATTGATTCAGTGATTGGGATAATTGGGACGGGAGTGTCAGAGACAGTGCGATTGGCACAGGACAGAGCGGAGTTTAGGGCTGTTGTACATAGGGTCACTATGAGTCACAGGTGACTGGACGGCACATAACAACAACAACAACAACAACAGTGGACTGGATGTAGTATTGGAAGGAGTTTGAGTTAGTTCTGCCCAGTGAGAATTGCAACCAAGCTTTCTGGAGAGTTATTGTACCAAGTCTGTTCTCTCAGGTGTCAGCTCCTCCGAGGTCCTTCTCTATAAGAGTGACTGAGGCTGGTTGCTCTGTTGTAAGCCCTATTTGAACCACAAAAGTCACTGGAATTCCTAGGGAAGGGGGGAAATGGAAATGGAAAATCTCAGAGCAGCGTGGTCTGCAAGAGAAAGGATCTGATGGACTTTGAGAAGTCTCAGTAATAAACAGACATGAAAGAGAAAGGGTAGCCAAGAGATTAGATGCTGAACTAGGCCCTGAGTTCAGAGCAGGGTGTGGAGCAAAGGAACGATATGAATTCCATGGGGAATGAGGCATACTCAAGGTCCTCACCCTTCAAAGCTGTCAGTTTTCTTGATTACAAGAAGAAATGTTTGATTCTTCTTCTTCCCAGAGCCTTAGAACGCCAGTGTGTCTTCCTGAACCCAGTGGGCCTGCACGCCTTGCTCTCTGCCACATAGCACAGGACCAAGAGCTGAACAGTTCATCTGCACATAGAACCTGGGAGGCTTGGGTTTCCCATTGAGGGTGTTCTGCCTTAGTGCTGCAGAAGGGCAAGCCTGAGAGATACAACAGATAAGAAAGAGCTGGCTGACTCATTGCACTGAGTTGTAGATGTAGAGTAGAGAAAGGAACATGATTCAGAACATGATTATGTTCTAGGTCTGCCTCAATGAGTATTAAAGGCCCAACAAAGCAAAAAAGAAAAAAGGACAGACTCTCATTGCCTTCAAGACAGAACTCACTCATACCTGACCCTGCCCTGGGGTTTCAGAGGGTATAAATTGCACTGTAGGTGATTGTTCATCTTTCTTCCTTGGGGCATTTGGTAGATTTGAACTGCCTAAACTTGGTTTGGCAGTGCAACTCCTTACCCACTAGGTCTCCAGAGCTCCCTCATCTAGAATTGCTGTCTGCTAAATATGTAAGTGAATAATGAAGACACAATCATTTCCTTGCAGTTAAGACACATTTATTAAGCTTCTTGCTGTTAAGAGAAGATGATCCAGCATAGAGGGGCTCAGGGTGATTCTTCCAGGTGGAGACCTTTTATTGTTTTCTTTATCCAGGGTAAAAAACTGGAGATTTTGATGAAGATACTTGGTGGAGCTCCTTTTTCACTTCCAGAGGAAACAATGGCCTGGGCTACATTGTTGCACACCAAGGGGCCTCCAGAGTCTCCCTGGGAACAGAGAGGAAAGGCTGAGTTAATTGTTCTGCTGGTCCTGCCTTCCTCTACATTCTGGGAGAAAACTGCCCCAATGAGGTAAAAACAGGGGAGAGAGGGAGATTATAGGTCTCCCTGGGAAGCCCCCAGGGTGCCAAAATCTGATGCTTGACATTATTGTTGTTTCATGTCTAGGTTGTGATCTATCTCCTTCTCTAATCTCAGGACTCTTGCCTTCTAAGGAGCGGTGGAATTTTGCTTCCAGCCTACTGTTTACGGAAAAGCAGATGGTTGATGGAAGACAGTACATTGACCAGGGTGATGACAGCTCTTGAGTATTTTCATGGTTTTCACTGTTCAACGTGGATGGAGAGAATTTCCTTGCATGTGTGCCTAGGTGAGTGGGGCAATGCTCTCTACTTCTCCTACATTAAATGGAAAAAAAAATTCAAACCAGTTCTAGACATCTCAGTGCATAGTAATCCTAAATGTTGTAGAGTCGAACTGCTCACTGGGTTTTCTTCCCAATAAAGTTTACGAACACATTTGATACGGTTCAAACTACAAATCTTTAAAGTAGAAGCTGAATGGAAGATCTCTGTGCCTTAGGGATGTTTGAGGTGACATGTTATTGTTGTTGTTTTGCTGTCAACTGTGAACTGACCCATAACTGATCCACCAGTGAGATTTTATAGATGCTCAATTGCTCAGGAGATAGCCTATCTTTCTCCTGAAGAGCACCTTTGGGATAACAGTGATGTTTCTAACCCCTAGGCTACCTATCCTTTTGGGATGGAATAAGGAGTCACAAATTCATCTTTCTGCAGGAACACATTTCTGACTTAGCCCTGGGAATCTCACAGATGACTGAGTCACTAGGTAGTTTGGTACTCTTGTTATCTCAGAAAAGTGGGTGAAGTCATTCCCCCTATTGCTAGTGAGGATATTTACATCCCAGGTCTTCAGGCTAATGCTAAATCTCACCTTAAAGGAAGACATCATTTTCTGTGGATCTCCCACGCACAACTGAGATGTCCTGTAATAATTCCTGAAGCGGCACTCACATTGGAAGTGTCCCTGAATGGTAAGATCCACCTCATGCAGCTTGCTTGTCTGTTCATTCTCAGAGATCCTGCCCCATCCAGCCACACTGCACACCTGCCCAAGCTTCACATGGTCACTTTCTCCAGGCAGGGGAAGCAGGCCCACAGCTGCTGTCAGTTGGGCCTTTGTGTTCAGCTGATGAAGGAAACAACAAAATCTTGGT